TTGAATTGGTTATTATCTGTCCATTGGCGCCCTTTACCATACCAGGGGTAGAACCTCCTTCTGAGTTCAGAGATCTTTTGTTTTTTCATCTTCAATGTCTTTACAGAAGTTGTTGTAATACTTGTAACAGCTCTTTGAAACTCTTGTTCTTTTCTGAGATTTTTGTCTTTCTTGGCCTTCCCTTCCCTTCCCTTCCCTTCCCTTCCCTTCCCTTCCCTTCCCTTCCCTTCCCTTCAATTTCGATGGTTCACTCTGACATCCAGTTCGCTTTCTTCTTCTTCTTTTTTTGGCAGTCTCTTTTCACATTCATCCTTACCAACTTCTTTAAGTCCATTCCATAATTCCTCTGGTTCTCTTATCAATGAAGTTCAGGACTCAAAGCGATTCCTGATGTTCTCCTTGAAAATGGTAGATACATGTTCAAGATCATATTGTGGAAACTGACTGGCTTTCTTCTTTTTTAGCTTAATTGGAGCTTACACATGACCAGTTAGTGATACGTTCCACAGTCAGCACCTGACCATGTCTTCAATGCTGTAATTGAGCTCCTCTACCTCCTTTTAGCAATAATATGATCAGTTTGATTTCTATATACTCCATCTGGTGATGTCCGTGTATAGAGGCGTCGTTTTGGACAGTGTTAGCTATGAAGAAATCATTGGAGTAGCAGAAATTGATAAGTCAGTCTGCTGCTTCATTACGGTTTCTTATGCTGTACAATTCAACTACATTTTCTTCTTTCGTGTTTCCAACTTTGGCATTCCAGTCTCCAGTCACAAGCAGCACCTTGCTTGCATATTCTGTCAATTTCAAATTGGACTTGACCATAAAACTCATCAACTTCCTCTTCTGCATCGGTGGTTGGGGTATAAACTTGAATGACAAGGGTTGTCCATAAAGTCTAATCGATATTATTTGGTCATTGATTGCATTGTAGCTGAGTACTGTTCTTGCTATAGCCTTTCTAACTATAAAAGCAACACTGTTTCTTTGTTTTTCATGTCCTCAGTAATAAACAGTGTGATTTTCTGACTGAAAATGTCCAATTCCAGTCCATCTCAGTTCGCTGATGCCTAAGATGTCAATTTGTAGTTGTTTCATTTCATTTTTCACTGTGTTCAGCTTTCCTGTGTTCATGCTTCTTACGTTTCATGTTCCTACTGTAATTCTATCTTTGCAGCTTCAGATTTTCTTTTCCTCTGGCAACATCAGCAACCAGACATCCCAAAGACTATAATTTAGCCACGTCATAAACACCATTAGTACTCGGAAAGGTCCTCAGCAATTCCTCAATAGCATCTTGAGTGCCATCTGACCTGAGGGGCCCATCATCCAGCACTGTATCTTCAATCATTTTATATTTTCTATCCATGTGGTTTTCTTGGTAAAATTTAGGAGTGGTTCACCATTGCCTTCTCCCACGCAGTATGAATTGGTGCCTTGCAGTTGTCACTAAAGTGTTCATCTGCCTCTGGCATCTTCCTGTATCCTGAATCACTGCTGCCTAATATAGGTGCCTACTTGCTTTAGCTGGGCAGCTGGGATGACCTTCACAACTTAGGTGACCCTGCTGGGAATATATACTCTTGGGATATACTCCCAATGTTTTTTGCTCATTTCTCCCAGGAACACCCCCCCTGCCACAATGAGGCAGCACAACAGGCCTCAGGGGAGGCCGTTTGAAGTTATGACAGTGTAAAAAAAAAAAAACAGCTTTGCGAACAGTCCTCACATTTATGATCATCACAGCATCCTGCAGTCACACAATCACCATTTGTGTGCTTCACAACTGGCTTCTGACAAGCAGAGTTAATGGAGAACACACAAGTAAAATAGCAAGTTGCGGTCACATGATGTCTCGCTTAACAACCATGGTGATTTGCTTAACGACCAAGTGGGAAGTGATGTAAGCCTGTTGTGGTCATGTGATTTTATGCTTAGCAACCATGGCGCTTAACGACGGAGTTGCCAGTCCCAATTGTGGTTGCCAAGTGAAGACTACCTGTAATATAAAAATCTTAGTGGTGTCATGAATAAGAGAAGGGACACATTTAAAACATGCAATACAACATCAAATATTGAAACCAGAGGAGCTGAATTTTAAGAATAAGAAATCCAAGGAATTAACTTACTGTTTGTATCTTCTGAAAATACATGAAGCACCAAACTGCTTTTGGAAAGGGGTAATCAAGCAAACCAATTCCCTGGGCATTCCACATGGTTCCAAAGGGTAGAATAATTGAGGTGTTGTATTTCTGCAGCATTTGCATCCCAGGAAGTAAACATTCACACATACTTCCCCGAGAAATAAGCTTCCAATTCCTTGCTCATATAATTTGACACAATTGTGTATTCCAGTGGATAACATGGATATCAGTATTATTTCTAAAGTAGCAATAAAAGTGGATAAAACATTCATTTGCTGAAGATAACATATTTACCTGAAGCTTCTTTTAGGAGAGAGAATGTACAGTCAAAGGAAGATGAAAGATAATATTTCATCCCTTGAGGAAGTTTTTGTTTACTGGGGGATAGTCAAATATTAAAAATACACAGAGCTACCTTGAAAAGGGTATGTGTTGAATTGTTTGATTTCAAACTCAAAGTCCACATCTGTGCAGTCATGCTTACAGAACTTGATTGTTTGTCAAAATGACCACAAAACAACTAGAATCATAATTCCCTGTTTTTTTAAGCTTTATTTTACACATTTAAGGTACAGTTAAGGGCTTCTTCCAGTTAAGCTTGATTAGGTCCTTGTAGTTTTCTTAACAGCAATATGGAAATGGTTTGTCATTGCTTTTTCAGAATTTTTTTTAAAGATTTTGAGATGAGCAAAGACTGGCTATATGTTGTCAACTAGTTAAGTGTACACTTTAAGAAACTGGAATACACCCTAGTTTGCTTTATTGTTACATATCCAAAAGAAACACAAGCCTTATGGAATGTGCAAGCTTTTGAGGGTTGTGACTATTAATATATTGTCTTTCCTCTTTTTCCTCCCCCTCTTCTTGCATCTTCTTATAGGATGTACAAGTATACATCCAAGCGCTTCAAGACGCGAGCAGAACAAGAAGTGAAGAAAGCAGAGCATATGGCTCGGATTGGTGAGTCCCCTAAAAGAAAGGAATGGGGATCCATTTTGGGGGGGAACTTGACGGCACAAGTCAGTCCAAATCAGATTATTGCATTAAACTTAAGTGCACATGTTCTGCACACATTTTGTATATAAACTGCATTGTGTTCCTGCTCATAAGCTTGGAAAGCATAATTGTGTAATCAAAATTTGCTAAACTTATTCCCATTGTCCCCACAACATCATCTTATTTCTCTCCCATAGTGTAGATTAGGGAGTTTCAAACCTTTTCAGGCTGTGGAACCTGTTAAAAAAAATCCTAGAACACCTGAAGAAAAGGTAAAGCTCCAGTGATAGAAAATTGGTGGAGTTCAAGTTAACTTTTCTTTCTCTCCTTTTTTCTTTTTGCCCTTAGGTTGTCATGGAACCCCATCAAATTCTTTTAAAGCAGTGTTTATCAACCTTGGCAACTTTAAGACAAGTCCACATGTCTTAAAGTTGCCATGGCTGAGAAACACTGTTCTAGAGCTTAGTTTGAAAAACCCTAGTGTAGATTGGCCTTATCTAAAATTATGCTAGTTCCTACAGCTATAGGCTACAGTTCCTAGAATTCCCAGCCAACGTGGCTGAATTCTGAAAGGTGTAGTCCTACAGGATTAGAAGGTGCCAGGTTGCAGAAAATTGTGACTGACTTGATTTCCTATAGTAAATTGCTTTTAAAATACTAGAATTCGTGGGGGTATCTTTTAAAAAAATCTTTATGCGTTCTTTGTCTGAAGACTAATTTCTCTTTTACAGCGGAAGAGAAGGCACGAGAAGCAGAAAGCAAAGCCCGTGCTTTAGAGCTGCGGCTGGGAGGAGACCTTACCAGGGAGTCCAGGGTAAAATATACTATATTTGACTGCTGGTGGAAAATTCCAGTATCCAAAAAGAGATTCAGAGAAATAGTCCTGAGCTGAACAAAAGAACTGCTGGCCATGCTTGGTAGTTCAAGAGGGCAATGAAATGATAAAGGTTCATGATCAAAATTGCTGGAATATACATATTCTGATGAACCATAATTATACGTGTGTGTGTGTGTGTGAGTGCAGGCATGCATGGGTGTGTAATGGTTATATAATTGTCTCACTATTTAAAAAAAGGCTTATATCTGAAGCAGGAAGAGGAGAGCTGAACATTCTGAAACTTCAGCAAAAGTCATTTAGCTTGCATAGAACAGTTTATTATCGCAAAACTGCATGCTTAACTCCTATTGGTTCCAGTGGGAAATTTTACCAGATGTTTGACTTTTTCTGAAATCAGTGGGATAGAAATATGTTTAACTGGATTTTTTGAATTACAGCTGTGTTCTAAACATGCAAAGGTACTCAGTCCGACTGTACTTATTGGAACAGATGTTTTGAAGGCCTTGAGGAACAAGCTATTGTTATAAAGATGTGAATTTTAAACAGTTACATTACTTCATTGTTTAAGATGAGATGTTCTTTTATATCTGTAGGTTATGCTGCGCCAGGCCCAAGATGTAGCAATAACTATGCGTAGAGAGGCAGATGTTAAAAAGAGGATCAGGGAAGCAAAACAGCGGTGAGTGGCAGAGATATCTTCATTTGATTTATATTCTGGTCTCCTTAAAAGGGTGTTCCAGTTGCTTTGCACAGAAATGGGTGGCATTATACTATCTTTGTCTCAAACCATGTAGAACGTTATGACTATGGCCCACCAACAATTGCACCTCCTGTCCCTCAAAAGCAGTTTGAAAATAAACCACAAAAGTATGCAGTTCAGCTGACTCAGAAATACTGAGAACAAAGAGATCTAATATTTGATTGCCTATTCTTAAAATACTAAACCAGTAATGATTAAAGTTTTCATCTTCTGAAATGAAATTTCTAAATGGGCTGTTACCTGGCAGGATTAAAAATACACTGTGGAGTCCCTGTTGCTGCAGAGGAAACAAAGACAAAAGGTTGAGCAAACAGCTCAGACGACAATATCAAGATTCAGGGGGATCTTGACAAACTTGAGCAATGAGTAAAAACCAGCTAGATGAAATCTCAACAGACAAAGGCAGTCTTACATTTGGGTAGGAAAAATCAGGGGTGTGACTATAGGATAGGAGGGGGAAGAAAAAGGATCTAGGAGTCTTGACAGATCAGATGCAGAACATAAGCCAACAATGTGATGCACTGCATCAACAAGTATAGTACAGGTAGTCCTCACTTAACGACAGTTTAGTGAAGGTTCAAAGTTACAACGGCCTTGGGAAAAGTGCTTTATGACCTGTACTTGCCCTTATAACTGTTGCAAACTTGCTCCTCCCCCTGCGGTCACGTGATCACAATTTGTGACCTTTTTACAATGGTGGTTAAAAGAATCACTGCAGTTGTTAAGCAAATCACAAATTCTGACAAAAAGCGTCCATTGGGAAACTGGATTCACTTAATGATCATGATTGCTTAACAACCACATGATTTGTTTAATGATAGCGGTAAGTCACTTAACAACCGTTGTAAAAATGGTCGTAAAATCAGGTCTAGTCATGTGGTAACTCGCTTAACTGCCCCTTAATGACCAATTTTCTTGTCCTTATTGTGGTCGTTAAGTGAGGACTACCTGTATCAAGATCAAAATAAACCATTGTTTCTCTGTATTGTTTGATCATCAGATCACATCTAGAATATTGCATCCAGTTCTGGGCATCACATTTTAGGAATGACATTGACAAATTGGACAGTGACTAGAGAAGACCAACCAAGATAATGAAGGGGCTAGAAGGAAAATTTAAGAGGAACATTTGGAGGTACTGAGTATGTTGAGCCTGGAAAAGAAGATTGGAGAGATGTGATAGTTGTCAAATATCTGAAGAGTTATCATCTAAAGGGGCGATAATTGTTAGAATTGATCCAGAAGACAGGACAAGAAGCAAGGGGCTTAAATTGTATATATACCATTAAAAGGTAGATTTTGATTGGGCATCAGGAAAAATTTCCTGTCAGGAAGAGCTGTTCAGCAATGGGATAGACTGCTTTAGGGAGACTGTTTAAACACCTTCACTGGAGATCTTTAAACAGATGCTGGATGATCATCTGTTGGAGGTGTTGTAGTGGATTCTTGCAAAGGCAGGGGGTTGGATTAGATTATCTCCAAGGTCATGTCCAAACACTACATTCTATGAACCCCAAGATTTAGCTTGGTTATGAAAGTAAGTATATTTTTGTTGGTTTGCAAATGTTGTTTTGGAAATTTTGTATTAAATGAATTAATCCAGTGTTGTTCTTGAGAAATGCTGCTAGGTATAGAACTGAAATATTTATTGACATGTTATTGAGTAGGATTGCAGGGCACACAAAAATCATGATGGCAGCCACATGATCCTGGGCAAGGCATGGTTGCTTTAAGACTGATGTTACATGAGTGCTTCTGTATGTTCCAAAGCACCTTTTTGCCTTCCAGTATGAAGGGTTGCAGAATCCTATTTTTTTGATAACGGAGCGGAAGTTGGAGATGAAGAGATAGCATAAATTGGGGTGAAATGGAGGTTTGTTGCAAATGTTTTGGATGTGCGTGGGGAATTGGGCTTCTCTCTTTTCCTCCGAGTAAACCCAGGAAGGGTTATTATTACTGTAAGCTTTATGTGTAATTTGCATAGTTAATATCCAAATAAATTATGGATAAATTGCTTTTCTTTTTTCTGACAGTTAGCCAAGAAGCAAAACATAACCCAGTTAGTAGGCAGAAAATGAATAATAGTTAAGCATGTATTCATGTAGTCTTTAGCAGTGTATTTCCCCCCAAAAGTAGGTAAATTGAGTTATTTTTTCAGATCTGTTCTTCCTCCGGAAAGCTTATAGTGGTCATTTGGGATTCCTCATCAGTCTCCTGATGCTTTGCTTCATCAACGTTAACAATGCCATATGTACCCCTTGCTCTCTACTCTGCCAGTGGATCATATGTTGTAAGTGGTCCCAGGAGTTATTCAGCCATGCTATAGAAAACAGTGTGACAATAATTGCATGGTGCAGTAATCCTACTAAAAAGTATCACTGATCTATTTGTGGTTTTTAATCTTGTTTGCTACTCTATCCTGCCCTAATGTTCAACAGTCTACCCCAGTCCAACTTCCAGGTCTTTATGTCTAAGTTAAAAGAATGATACGTTACAGCAAGTGTGCAAATTGCTGACAACAAGTATAGTAAGGTTTAGGCACAGTAAGATGGGAGTTTTTGTTTATGAGGGAAAACCAAATTCAGTTAGCATTTTTGAGCTCTCAGGGTGAAGCCTTGAATCTATCACATTTTGAGAATAGCAGATTATTTCAACATTTCAGTAAGAAGAGTGGATAGAATGCAGTGCCAAGTGATATAAAGATTACATTCTTTCTCTGTAGCTAAGGAATGAGTAAACTATTACAACAGTTAATTGATAATGCAATGTAAGAATATAGGTTTTCTTACTGATATTTTGGTGAAAGAAAGCAAGAGTTGATAAAGCACGTTCATGTGCAACAGTTAGCTCGCCTTTTGGGCAAGGTGCTAAGTCATAACTGCTGTTGTATGTATTCCACTGTTGTACCTATGTATGTATAACAAGTGCTCCACAATATTATACAATGTAAGTGTTGCACAGGGAAAAGGCAAAAGTAGCCTATTGTCTTGTGAAGGTGGCATTGGAGAAGGTAAAATTTAGCATTCTAGATATCAACTGTAGAAAATAGCCGTGACCTCCAAGAGTTGTCCAAGAGTATATCCTGCTTACACTCTCCCCATCCTACCCCGTTTTACCCTGTACTCTGCAAGGTAGTTGAGAGACTGGCTGAACGTCACTTCATGGAAGAACAGGGATTTGAACTGAGATCTCCTGAGTCTTCTTTCAGTGCTCTAATCACTGTTCCACAGATGAACATCCACAGGCTTTCTTTAACTTGACTTCCTGCTTTTCAGAGCGCTAAAGGAGCCAAAAGAGCTGAACTTCATCTTTGGTGTAAACATAGAGCAACGGCATCTGGATGGGATGTTTATCTACAACTGCAGCCGATTGATTAAGATGTATGAGAAGGTGGGCCCACAGCTGGAGGGTGGCATGTGAGTTCCTCATGGAGACCTCCGTGTAGCTTTTACCTTTGTAATAGAGGGCCTCTCTTTAGAAGAAGTGGGACAAACTCTTCTTGCTGTAGAAGAACTTTTTCTTATTTCTGTGAGCCATACAGCTGGACTTTATATTTTTAAAGAAAAAAATGTCTGATGCCGGGCAAATATTTGTATCAAGTGCTATAAAATGTGCAAATTTCATTTTCTTTTATTTATTTATTTATACATCACATTTATATACCCACCCATCTCACACAAATGACTCTGGGCAGCATACAACAATTTATGTGGTGTATATCCAATTTCTGTTAGGTTGCTGGCTTCTAAATTTCTTTATGAGAAATTTATTTTCAAGGTAGGGTATGGGTAGTCCTTGCTTACCGACTGCCTTGTTCAGCGACCATTCAAAGTTATGACATTTACAACCTTTGGAGCATCCCTCAGTGACATGATTGTCAGTACAGTCAGTACACTCAGGGTGGGGGGCAGGTCAGGCACAGTAGAGATTGCCTACAGAAATTGCTTGTTTTTTTTCTCCACTCCCCTCACAGAGTGGAGAGATTGGAGAGGAAGGGATTACAAGAGAATAAGCAGGCACACAGTGGGGAATACATTGGGCTGTTTGCATAGTGTACTCATGGCTGCTGGCACCAGCACATTGCTTTCAATGTGTATTCCCCATTGTGTGCCTGCTTACTGCCTTGTAATCCCATCCTCTCCAATGAATGTAAATACAAACATTAATTCCCTTCTTGCTAATTATCCCAGCTTCTGGGTGAGCATTCCAGAGGGCAGGGGAATGGTTAGGTGGCAGACAAAAGCAGAAGGTGTGAAACTGATTAGTCTTGTCAGTTTCGAGTTAGCTATCCCACTGGGGTGAGTGTTCCAAAGAACGGGAGTGGGGAAAAGGAAAGCATAGTCATGGTCACATTTCCCCACTTAATGACCGCTTCACTTAATGACAGAGTTGCCAATCCCAATTGTGATGGTTAAATGAGGACTATCTGTACTATATACTGTATTTTTTTCTTCTTAAGCATGTTCTGCCTCCAGTGCTGTGTCTGCTAGCTACATCTCAGCACCTGTCACTTATATTCCAGCTCCTTGTACTGGATAAGTTCAGTAGATAGGCAGGTTTCTCCATTATTCAGTCTCCTTTCTTCTGGACTGTAACAGGTATCCAAAGTCATCGATAATAAAGGACAGAGAGACAGAAGATACTCTTTTTTCTTTATCCTATTTCTAGTCCCATTCTAACAAGTGCTTATAAGCTTGGGTAGATTTTTGGAACTAGCAGAAAAATAAATTGTCTTACAGTTGCTGTTCTCAGCCATAAAGCCACTTCATGCTTTTTAAATTGCAAATGCAAATGGGTGGTACTAGCTGAAGAACTCAGTAATTCAATATTGGCTTCGTTTGCTCTTAGTTACACTTCTAAATTGTAACATGCCTGCCAGAATTTATAGAAATAGGCTCAGCATGCGTTCTCAGAATAGTCTGAGGGTGTTGATATACTGAGGTGAGGAATTAAAGAATACAAAGAGAAATTCCAAATATATATAAACCTTTGGAGAAATCTTTTGCTCTGTCTGCATGTGGTATCTGCAAGGGAAGGCCTCCCAGGGATGATGTACAGTTGGTCCATGTAATAGTATCTGCTTCATTGAGGGAGGGGGGTATACCTCCTCCTCAAGAAGCTTTCACTAAATCTTAGTGTTCTGGACAATTTTCATCCAATCTCCAATCTTCTCTTTTAGGGGAAGGTTGTTGAGAAGATAGGTTGCAGCTTCAGAGGGCCCTGCAGGATACAGGTTATCCAGACCATTTTCAGTCAGGTTTCAGACCAGGACATAATATTGAGATGGCATGGTCACACTTGTTGATGACCTTTGGTGAAGCTGGGCTAGGGCTAGTGCAACTGATCTGGTTCTGTGTGATCTCTCAGTGGCTTTTGATACCATTGACCATGGTATCAAAAGCCACTGTGAGATCACATCAAACCAGGATAGTTCTTTCTGGAATGCCTTCAGAGATTAGGAGTGAAAGGCGCAGTCCAACAATTCTCTTCCTTGTAGTTAGGTCCCTATGCAGTTGACCAATCAAGCCAGAGATATCTTTCATGTGGGGTGCTATAAGGCTTGACATTCATATCCCTCCTGTTTAACATCTACATGAGGCTGCTGGATGAGGTCAAATTAGTTAGATCCCATTACTCTGGGATCTGGTATCCTCAGTATGCTGATGATATGCAGCTACAAATGTTGATCCTGGCCTGTCCAGGTGATGATGTCAAGGTCTTGTCCCAGTGTCTGGAGGATCTGTGGATCTGAATGGGGAAGAACAGTTAAGATAAAACCATAACAAAACTGAATGGCTGTGACCTGGGACCACCCAGGTCCAGAGTTGCTTAGTCTTTAGTCCTGAATGGGTTTGCATTTCCCTGTTCAGGGCTATTCTGCAATTTGGGGATCTTCTTGTACTTGCAGCTCCTGTTCAAGGAGCGGTGGAATTTGTGCCCCAGAAGACTTCTATACAAATTCATCTAGAGTGCTAGTTGCACCCATACCTGGATAGGAATTGTTCAAAACAATCACTTTTTGGTTACCTGACATGTGGATTGCAGCAATGTACTGTACATGGTGCTGTCCTTGAAGGCCATTCAGAAATTGCAGCTGGTCCAGAATGCAGTTTGGGACATACCTTGGTGTCCCCATGTAACAATTCTGCTTCATGAGCTGCACTGGTTACCAGCAGCCTTCCAGGTACAATTCAGGGTGCTGATTATCACCTATATAAAGCCTTTTAGGGCATTAGGCCTATTTATTTGATAGACTGCTTATCTTTTGTAGTTTCTGCCCACCCTATACCGGCTGATTAAGTCAGCATGCTTAGTCCCACTGATTAAACAGTGTCATTTGCTGGGACTAGTGAGTGAGCCTTTTCTGTTGTGGTGCCTGCCCTCTGGAACAACATCCCCGAGACTCATGCAGCCCTCACCCTGATCTTATTTAAATTAACTTTCAAAACCTGATCTTCCCTCAAGCCTTAGGGTAGAGTGGGTGGCTGATCCCTTGGGGGAAGATTGGTTTATTGGATTTTGATGTTTTTTCTCCCAAATATGTTTTTTTTTTTCTTTTAGGCTATTCTATTGTTTCATATTGTTTTCAGTCTGATCTCTTTCAAAACCTGATCTTCCCTCAAGCCTTAGGGTAGAGTGGGTGGCTGATCCCTTGGGGGAAGATTGGTTTATTGGATTTTGATGTTTTTTCTCCCAAATATGTTTTTTTTTTTCTTTTAGGCTATTCTATTGTTTCATATTGTTTTCAGTCTGATCTGCTTCAAGTCTTATCGGAGTCAGGCAGCTTGTCAGTCAAATAAATAAATGATGAGCCCACTTTTAAATAGTTAAGTGGATCTCAAAGGATCCATTTAACTAAGAGGCTTGTTCTTGCATTAGAGGAGTGCAATTAATCCAGGTCCATCTATTGCCAACACATTTTCATATTTAAAGTGGGAATCCATCTTTCCCATGCTGCTTCTCTTACATCACGCTGTTGGATTGGTGCTCACAAATGTGACCTCATGTTTCTTCTCTATAGGGCATGTGGTGGAGTTGTTGGAGTGGTGGATGTCCCCTACCTTGTTTTGGAACCAACACATAACAAGCAAGACTTTGCAGATGCAAAAGAATATCGGCACTTGTTAAGAGCAATGGGAGAACATTTGGCTCAGTATTGGAAGGATGTTGAAATTGGTAAGAAGTCATATCAGCAGTTGGAAGGGAGGGAGGCAGGGAGAGAGAATGATGGGAAAGAAAAAACATGAACACAGATAGCTAGGTACACTTTAATTCACATTTGTTCAGTTGTAAAACGCTTAATGTTTTTGTTTTTAACAAAAAACATCCAGCTCAGAAAGGCATTAGCAAGTTTTGGGATGATTTTGGCTATCTATCTGCAAACTGGAACCAGCCCCCATCAAATGAATTGCGTTACAAAAGGCGGAGAGCCATGGAGATCCCAACTACTATTCAATGTGGTAAGTGGCTAATTGAAGATTCCTGTATTCTAAGGTCCAAAGGTTGCTCTATTGAGTGAAAGCCAGCTGTCATAGCCAAATAGCAAAAATGCAGGGATCCTTGGTGTTACGTACTCTTTGCACAGCAGTAATGGACAATCTGAAGCCCTAGGAGCCTTTTGTAGGCCCCAGATTATTTTCCTGCAGCTCCTGGAACACCTTCAACTACAGTCACTGGAACATGTCAACATACTTTGCTGCCAGTATTAATTGGGAAGCATGTTAAACTGAAGTGTAATCCTCATAATTAAGTTTACACAATCAAAATAAAGTAACTCCTTAAATCCAAAAAAAAAGAAAGAAAATTCTGGTTGCATTCATGTATGTGAAATGGACTGATCCGTTTTACAGCATTCCCTTTCCCTGGTGGTTCTTTGCTATTGAAGGATTGCCACACCTGTTGTACAGGAGCACATAGGCAGGGGAGCACATTTCAATGTTCTTTGGGGAAATTCTGTCAAGTATAAAAAAAAGCTACGTGACACCTTATTTGGCTATTGATTGATTTGATTTATAACCTACTTTAATGCTCTGGAGGGAACTTAAGTGTTCAAGAAAATTTAAAAACAATATAAAAGTTAAAAATACATATTAGAATTAGTGGTAAAACAAATACCAAATCATCTATGTGGCTTGGGAAATGGGTATCATTGAGACTGCCTATTCCTGGTAGAATCTGCCCACCTAGTGCACACAGAAAGCATCCTAGGAGACATCTGGTAGTGGGACAGACCCAGAAGTAGGCATTCTCCGTGGGAGCTCCCCTCCCATGGAATAGCTTGCCCCCTGGGGTGAGGGATTCTTCCAAAGGCTTATAAAGAACTGGCCTTTGGGAACTAGATGGAATGATTCTGCTGCCCAAATGAATTGGCATGTCACAAATACTGAATGTTACATCACAGATCAAGGTACCATTACTGTTATTGTAACTGTGCAGTAAAAAAATGCAGCTACTCTCTTGGAAAGACAAGTATCACATCCTCCAGGTATATATTAACTGTCAAGCTTAAGCAATGTAGATGATAGATGATACTTCTAATGTTGCTATATGAGAAAGGGTCCATGTCTACCTGACTAAAAATGTATAAAACCATTGGCAATTATTGTATTCCCAAGACCTTAGTTGAGAGACTTGCATACAGGTGGCTTATATTCAGCAGACTGTTCAGCATGCTGACTGTATGCTATGTCCTTGTGTGATAGATGTGTGTTTGAAATGGCGGACCCTCCCATTCCAGCTCAGCTCTGTGGAGCAAAAATACCCAGATACCTGGATGTGTGCCATGAACCCAGATCCTGAACAAGATAGGTACGTAAGAATCAGAAAGCAGTTTAAATACTTAATGGTCTTTACAACAGTGCAGCAGGTAGGTTGCTTTAATAATGCTTCTTATATTAGAGCTGAACTGAATTGAGAGACAGAGTAAAGACCAGAAGAGGAGTAAAAAAAATAGTAAGTCAAAAAATTTAAGAAATAGAGGAAGAAAAGGAAATTAGCTAAATCTTACACCATGGAGAGGGTAACATCTCTCTCCATAAACATTCTAACAAGATATACAGATTCATATACTAGCTCTGGTTCTTTGGGGGGGGGGGTTCCTTTGTTGGTGCCTTTGAATCAGTGTTGACTCCTGACGATTGCCTGGACAAGTCCCTGCAGTTCTCTTGGCAAGGTTTCAGAAGTGGTTTGCCATTGCCTGTTTCCTAGGGCTGAGAGAAAGGGACTGGCCCAAAGTCACTCAGCTGGCTTCATGCCTAAGACAGGACTAGAACACATGGCCTCCTGGTTTCTAGCCTGGTGCGTTAACTGCTACACCAAACTGGCATCTCATAACGCATTGCAGCAACCCAGAACAGCAGAAAAAGGAAACAGACCACCTATACAACATCTTC